ACACTACACAAAGTTTCCTATCACATTTCGAAAAAAATAGTGTAACAGCTGTCGTTGGTTCCGTTAATTCCAGATTTGTGATGCTGAAAGGTAAAATTACAATCGTTGTACTGAATCTTCTTGATTGTGAGCTGCTGATCTATTTTCCCCATTCAAATTAAAGGGCTTGGTCATTGATTTCTCTGTGCTGATTTCTTTGTTTGCTGATTCCTGCAAAAAAATTATAACTATGCATTTTTGTCTGTTTGGTGTTTCTGAAACAATAGTTTTCAGAAACAGCAGCAACTTGAAGAAAGCTAAAATGATGATCATAAATAAATATATAGGTAGGCCAATATCTCAGCTTGTTTCTATTTGCAACTTTTATATAATGGGCTCTAGGAAGGAGAAAATTAGAAAATTCATACAGATGGAAGAAGAAGATGATGATGATGAATTGTTTCTTGTCATTGTTCCTGCCATACTTGAATGTCTGAATGAAGAGAAGAGGCCACCTGGTGCTAAGAAGGTAAAGGAAGTTCTGGAGGGGCATGAGAGTTAGTGTAAATCCGAGTTTCGTATGGAGACACAAATATTTAAGGCGACATGTAAGTACCTTAGGCGTGAGGGTCTATTGCATGACACACGAGGTGTTACCGTTGAGGAGCAGCTAGGGATGTTTATGTATATGATTTCACACAATGCTAGCAATGATAGACTGAAGAAAGCTTTCAGCATAGTGGTGAAACTGTCCACAGACACACAAGGGCAGTTTTCGATATCATTCCAACTCTCACCTATAGATTCGTGAAGCTTCCTACTTCCATCCAAACTCACCCCAAGATCGCTACGGATCCTCACTGAACTAGAACCAACCTCCTCAGCTTGTTCAGGACCAAAGTGAAATAGAAGTGGAAAAAAGAGAAGCATTGTTGGAGAGGATATGTGGACTTCAAGGTGAAGCAAAGCAAAACTTTTGTGGATGCACCAGATGAATCAAGTAAACGAACAAGTGACTATTCTATCAAGAAGTGTATGGATATTCTGGAATCCATGGAAGAGCTCTAAGATGAAGAGAAGGTGCAGGCAACAAGCATCATGAAGTGTGAGGTGAACAGAGAAATTTTTATCAACTTCACAAACCCAAGAGTTCGCCTATTGTGGATTAAGGGTGAGATTGCCCCTAAGGTATTTTTTCTTGCTTCAGAATTTCTTCAAAAGTTGGATGTTGGCTGGTTCCAGGGACATAGGTGCTGTTAATTAGTGTTAGGACGACAAGCATCGGGTGGGTCCATCACACTTCACATTTACGTATTTCCTTTTTTTAATCATTGCGCCTACTCAGTGCATTTCCTTTTTTGTAACATTATCATGAATTATAAATTCTGAGTTGGATGTTGGCTGGTTCTGGGGACAGAGGTGCTGTTAATTAGAGTTAGGCGACCTAACAGAACAGCAGCTACTACTTTAGCCAGTTCAGAATTTCAGATGCATACTGACTCGTGCAATGAGACCTAACAGAACAACAGCTAATTTAGACGGCCTGCTCATCTGCTGGTGCATCTGAAAATTCTGAACTGACTATATAGTACCTGCTGTTACTCAGTTAAGCTATTGCTCTTTTACTGTTTTATTATGTTTTTCTGGCATCAGGATGCACTGGTTAGTAAGCATTTGTAACATCCTAATTAACAGCACCCTATGCTAGCATAAATGTCACATTGCATAGACTAATAGTGATTTTTTTTCTCATCTAATTGCAGGGTTGATTCTGTATGTTCTGGCTTGCTGGTGCTGGTTGTGAGAGAGATTGTAGTGGATTTATGCTTAGACACTCAAAAATTCTCTTTGGTTATGTAGTAAGATTGTCGTAAACCTATTGACTCTTGTATGTTTTCTTGGGTTGCTTAACATATTTATTTGAAGCCAACGGTGATGAGTAGCTTTCTGTTAGATCAAAGTTCTATCTGTTTGGTTACCCTATGGGATGACGAGTTTGTATGCTCTGAAGCCAATGGTTATGCGTAGCTTTTTGTTAGATCAAACTTCATCTGTTTGGTTACCCTATGAGATGAAGAGTTTGCGTACTTTGATTTAGTAAATTAATTGATGTTTTCTATCCAATGTGTGTATTGTACCGTTGAAAGATTATTCATGGTACTGATTTTGCATACTACAATAGATTTTTTGAAATCTTTGTTTTTTCTGTTTTTTCTGAATGTTTTTTTGTTGGTCGGGATTTGTATCCCTGTGTTGCCCAAACGGACCCAGGGAATTTTTCTCCGATGAGGTCTCTGTTGCCAAGCGGAGGGGGGTGGCATGTTCATGGAAGATGATCCCTTTGGGGATTAAACCCATGTGACTTTTTCACACCTGTATCCAAAGGAGCCCTAAGAGTCTTGATGTACCTGCGCTTTTAAGGGTATTATTAGTAACACATAAGCATGTTGAAAATTAAAAAGAATTTTTCCTTAAAATTATGATCGAACATGCAGTGCCAAACTAATTTGATATGTATGTTCTCGCAAAGAAGATTGATCCGTATGTGTTTCTGAATTTATTATTTTTTGTCTATTTTTTAAAAATATTCATATTTAGACCCTTAAATGTTTTATTTCCGTTTTTGGATAAGGGGTCGACGCCATGACCTACGGCGCTAAAATAATGCGTCTCGACGCCGAGGGCCGCAGCGCCCCGTGCGGCCATGTACGCGATCGGAAAAGACGGGGCCTGTGTAAAAGCTTTCTGCCTTTGGCGCCGAGGAAGGAATCAAAGTAAGCTCATGAATGCCGGCTCTAGTAGACTTGTACTAGCTGAGAGCGAGTAGCGGAGTAGTTATAGCCTGCTTCACTTAATCATGTGTGTGCGCATATCTATCCAATCTCCTATTTTTTTGTGCATCTCCTTTCCCCACGACCAACATCAGGTAGAGTATGCATATGTCCCATCTCTCTGCTACTCTCTCTATCTAGAAATAAGTGTCCACTTTGGATTAGTCAAAATTTTAAGTATATTATAAAAATATATTTAATAATAATTATTCTAATAATACTTATATGTACCATAAATACTCATAATTTTTTTGTATATATCTAGTTAAAGTTAAAAATGTTTGACTCCTTGAGAAGTGAAAATAATACGAATATAATTCAGATATCTGCATACATTAAATTTCTTTGTGAGAGATAATTACGAATATAAATATTCTTGAATATGAATACAAAGTAAAGATTTCAAATCTGAATTTGCATTCATCACAACTTCCTCTAATATTTAATCATATATAGTCACCACTCACTAGTAGAGCTTTAACTGAATCATATATAATCAAACCAGCAGCAGATGAATTAAATAAGGCCTATTTGGTACAGCTCAGCTTCATTAATGAAGTAAATTTTTTGGCCTTAGTTCCATAAAGTAGCTTAGCTAAAACTATTTTCCAAAACATTCGGCAAAACATTTTTTTAGGGAAGATAACAGAGAAAGTGGATTGGAAGAAGCTAGTATTTCCAGCTTTATCCAGCTTCCTGGAGAACTAAAAACACATATTTTGCTTTCCTCATGAGAGTTGAAATGGAGGGGCTATGTTCAGGACTATGACAGCTAGTACAACTAGCCTAGCGGTCTTGGAAGTAGAAGATAAGGTCGAGGCTCGAGATATGGCGCCGAGCTCGGCCATGTTAGCGCCACGTCGTCCCACTACGCCATTTAGATATCGAGGCTCGGCACCATGGTCTACGGCACCGAGGCATGTTGCCTCTGTGCCGTAGACCACGGTGTCCACCCTAGGATCTAAAAACACAAATTAAACGTCTAGGGATATAAATGTAAATACTATTTTTTAGGAAAAGGGTTAAAAATAAATAAAAAATCAGTATGTGTTTCAGCTATGTGCACACCTAGTTCCAAAATCAGCAACCGCACATGGATTGAGAAAAAAATGAGATAGTGGGTTTTGATACCACTTGTTAGAGTACATGCTCAATAAAATATCCCAACAAATCTACTAACCTATATAAGAATACGGAAGCATAAATATCATGGAAGAAAATACACAAACAAAAACAATATTGAGGCACAATGCTTTTAAAACAGGTTCAGCCATTTTCCTGCATCCACGAGGTATGATTATGGGAGCTTGTCCACATAAACAACAATTACACTAGTATCTGAGTGCCCTTGTGGCCTTGTCACCACCCAAACCTGTCACTAAGTCATCTCTTGGTTACAACAGGGTTGGGATTTTCCATTAAAAAACATGGTTGGGCTCATATTTATGTCCCCAGGATATAGAGTCCAACTCAAAATCTATCCTAACCCCAAATTCAACTCAAATCCGATTGTAACCAAATCATAAACATATATATCAATAAGGATCTTGCACATATAGAAAACTATTTCTACCATTCCATTAAAAATATTATTTGTGCTTCCCTTGGCAATAAAAGATAAAATCGTGAAAATACATAACAATGTCCAAAATTTATCATGCAGGGAACATATATGGTATTTTACAAAACAAGAAATTGAACACTTAATTTGTTACCACACATGTATATAAATAGATGAAGATCTTCTAAAGAGAAAGGAAAATATCTAAATATCACCTTCAGCTTGACAAGGCTCATTTAACTATTTAAGGTTTACCTAACATATTGATGCAAATAACAATAGTTTTATTGGCTTTGTGTATTTGAAGCTTTATTCATTAGATGGATATAAATAAATAGACTACATATAGATAGATAGACAAGGCAAGGAAACATACAAAGTTTATGATAGATTATAATCCCAGAAATAGTAAGATAAAATAACCAACAACTTTGGTTTACAATATAGCACTTAATGCAGTAGAAACAACATAGTAGCACCACCTAGAACTATAGAGTGATTTATTCATCCAAAATGTTCAGGACAATTGAAGCAGCATTCTTGGTGAATCCTTTGCAAGACTCATCACCATAGTCATGAGAAGGGATGTCAATGTCGACCCCAAATAGCGCATAAACGCTTTTACGGCCTTACAATTTCAAGTGATGCCGATTCAGAAATGTTGTTTGTTGTGGGATCAGATTAGTTGGAGGCATCAACTCCCTAGATCCAAAGGATAAAGGCTTCGATGCTGGAACAATTTCATGGCTTGTACCAAAGCCAAGGCTCTCATGGACCCAGTCCTCAATCATCAAGCTAGATGGAGAGAAGATTGGACATGGCACATGATGTGGCAAAGACATGGTACCAGTATGGGGCTTGATATGAATAAACATGTGGTTTGTGCTTGTAGTCTTACCAGCACCACGGTAGAAGGATAAAACATCACCTTTCTTGAGATTCTTCTCCTTGATAAAGGCGTGCCAGCCCTTGGTTAGGACATAGGTCTTGCTATTGTTCCAGAGGCAAAAGCGGAAGCGCCAGATTAACCCTGTGGAGAAGTCCTCAAAATTGAGGAAATCATCATCATCTTCACCACTCTTGGCCTCTAAAATCTTGGGAAAGCACTCCTCCGCGCATTGCCTTGGGATCAATAGACGATTCACTTGCCAACATCGCTTGGAGTTAGAATCTTGCTAAACAAGTACTCCACATCAACGACCTTCCAGCCCCTTTTTCTTCCCCCACATAAATCTAATGCTCCATGACCATTGCTCATGCCAGATTGGAAAACTAGTGCAGACTTGGATGACCAGGAAGAGACATCTTGAGGGGGCAAAAGCGGTTTACCATCGGGAAGGATTCAAACATGGTGGGGCCTTCCCCATCTTCACCTCCATCTCCTTGAAATCGTTTTTGTCGAGAAAGCCATAGATCTAGAATAGAGGTCTTTGTGTAGAAAGAATTGGTGAGGTAGGGGAGGGATGTGGGGGTTGATGGAATTAAGTAGTAGCCATATTATACTTCTTTATATGCCTATTTATTGTGCTTATTAATTTTTCTTTTGGCAAGATACTGAGAAAGTGGCTTTGGTGATTTGGTAGCATTGTGGAATCCTCGACCCTCCCATGAGAAGAGTAGGGTGCCATTTTGAGAGCTTGTCATATTTGTGTGCATTAATGAGTCCATATCTTTTTATACTATATATTTTCACTATGTTTTTATTATCTAAAAACAAGAAGTGCAATTCCCTCAGTGGTGAACAAAGAATACACTATTCAACAATTGTCATGGGTTCGTAACCACGACAAGCATTGTGTTGTTCATTAGGGGTAGATGTGTGGACCTCCAGTGGCCTAAGAACTCAAAACACTTAGGGACACGGCAAATTTATCCTGTTTTGGGCTTCTAAGCCCTATGTCCAGCAGTATAGTGTTCTTCATGTTAGGGATTCTCAAACGAGAGAGAGAGAGTGGTAGGGGATAGTGTGGTGTTGCTCTAGGGTTCTTGGTGAGATCATTCAATCAACTGGTCTCAGTCTGATTGTCCCCTTCCATGGGACCCCATGCCTCCCCTTATATATTGGGAAGGCGATGCAAGTACAAATCGAAGGGTTTCATCTAGGGTTTGGAGATGTTCAGAGGGTTTCATATACTGCGAAGGTGATGTGGAGGTCTAGAGATGCTCCTTGTCCTTGATCTTTTCTTGGAGATACTGGCTAGAGTGTGAGGATGTCATGGGTGTACAGAGTGCCCGAGGGTGGTTCCTATGGTAGGAACACCCCGGTGTGGTTTCTATGGCAGGGACATGAGTCCTGGCAAGACGACGATCCTTGAGGAAGATGTGGGGAAAAGGAGTTTGGTTGATAGAGCACCTCTAAGGGGTGGGTCTCGTGCTTGAGCTACATGGTTTGGTGGAAGGTGCTTGCTCTAACTAACCTAAGGACTATCATAGGCTACACCACAAATCATAGGATTTTTATGTACACGCCACATTCCAACTGGGAAGGAGCATGTTGCTCAAATTAGTGCAGGTGACCACCAGTATTTGTGAGAGGATAGTAAGCACCTAGTCTTGTGGCCCTATTCAATTAGTGTGGAGAGTACTGAGATTATTCCGATATCCCTCAATTGCACAACCAGCACCTAGTTTTCTGAAGAATACCAAGAGCTAACTATATGTGTGCCCAGGATGTTCACATGACACACATAGCGAAAAATATGGTAAATATCAGAAGCGATGCTTTATTACATAGCAAAATATATTTACACTAACTTACATCTATAAGAAACACATCAAAAACTATCCATAATCTTCTCTTCAGGCCTCCATATTCCATAGGGGCGGTTGACTGGGGAAGCACTCACCTAGTACTCTTGGAACTCCTTAGGGAAAACTCATCACTTGAACCACCATCTGGTACTCATCCGAGATTTTTGTTGATTGTAAAGCAAGCATGAACGCACCATACTCAATAAGTATAACATGAGGTTATGCAAGGCAAAAGAAGGCTTGCTTGATTGTACTGTGGTAAGCATTATATTTTTAGTTGGTCATGTTTTATTGATTAAACGTAAGTTACTGGGTTATGCTTAGAGCTCCCATGTGAAAGTATAACAATTATCATCAAGACTAATCATATCCCAAACCATCCATAAAAACATCTATCTTGAAAAGATCTAGGCCACTTGTCTCTGTGAGCATGGCTGATATATTAGTTTTATACAGCTCTGCAGAGTTTGTACAAGCAGTTTCCCCATGACTCGAGAATACCATATATATGCCTGAGTCGGCCAACCTCTTGACTCACTTTCCAAGTTAGTAGGCAGGGTTCACTATGAAGCTTTTCACTAGCCATTTTAATAAGTAGCAGCCACTAAGGTTTCGATCTCTAGAGTGTCATGAATGGCTCTCCTATGAAGTGGCATGCCTTGACATGCAGCCCAGCACACACTTCGGTAGGACAAGACCCATGCTCATCAAAGGTGCCTCTTGCCCTTTTGGTAAGTTTCTTACGAACTAGAATAAGTCAAGCTACTGGGCTAAGACCAAAGCCATGTAGTTCTCATGGTTGTACGGTAAATCCTGGGTGGCCTCTTTAAGATTTAGTCCTTATGGAGGGCAGACTAGAACACACAAAAAAGGCCTAATGCTCTACCCCCTTCTGTCCATGTTGCTAAAAAACATCATTTTAACATTGTTTCGTTAAGTCATTAGTCAACAATAACTTTATTTTATTTGGTGATTGCAAGCTAAGTAAAACTACCCATATGGCCATATGTGTAAACCTAGGGTAATCAAGGAATACATGATATCAAAAGCACTAGGTAATATGAAAAGATGATTATAAGGTTATTAGGTAACAAGGAAACTCATGTCACACTTGTTGTCGGTGTTTCGAGTAAACACCAATGAGTAAATTTGTGTTATTGCGCGTCTGGCCCGGATGGTGTGCTAAAAAGACATAAGGTTTATACTGGTTCGGGCAGATTGTCCCTACGTCTAGTTCGTGGCAGTTGCTCATGTTATTAGCACTAAAAAGTTCGTAGTAGGGGTTACAAATGGACGAGAGAGGGACAGGTCCCAAATCTCTGATGGAAAGATCGAATGTGTGCCGAGAGCTCGATCACTGCTCAGCTATGTGTTCGAGGTTTGATGCTAGTGGTTCTGCTGTGATGTGGTGTGATGTGCGATATCGTGAATTGATCCCCTTTGCTTTCCCTTTTATAGGCCAAGGGAGAGCATGGGTTATAGATGGGAGAAAAGAGGAAAACAGGAGGCAAAGGAAGTCCTTTAGGGTCGTCGAGCCTTCCTTTTTCTCCGTGCGGGCCCCACTAATATGGCAGGTGGTGATAGGGACAGCCCCACGCCGGGCGCATGATCGCTGACCATGATAGGACCACGTCGGGTGCCTATCCGCTGACAATGCCATGCCCTGGTATTGTCAGCGGGTCGTCACGTCCCATTCCGCCCCGGTGGGCGGCGCGGCGAACCAGCGTGCTGATCAGCGGTCGTACAGGGAGTAGGCAGCACAGTGACCACGCGTCTGATACTGTGGGCGATGCGAGTTCCCTAGAATGACATGTCACGGGGATGGGTCATGTTGAGATGTGACCACTCCTTGCACGATGTCAGAAGTTTGACCTTGGGTCACACCTTCTGGACCATAGTGGTTGTCATGAGCTTCTATAAAGATCCATGCCTAAGGGATCAGGCGAGGCAAAGCTAGCACTCGGACATCGGGTGGCGGAGCCCGACCCTTAGAAGTTGGGCGAGGCGAGAGCCCTCGGACATCGAGCGAGGCGAGAGCTAGCCCTCGGACATCGGGCAAGGCGAGCCGGCCCCTCGGACATTGAGCGAGGTAGAGCCAACCCTTGAGGTTGGCTAAGGTGGAGCCAACCCTCAGACGTCGAGCGAGGCAGAGCCATCCCTTGGACGTCGGGCGAGGCGGAGCCAACCCTCGGGGGTTAGATGGTAGACCAACCCTCAAGGGTTGGGTGAGGTGAGCCCGTGGCCAATGCATTCACTAAGTCAAGTCAACCCTCGGGGTCGGACGTGGCAGAGCCCCTAGCCTCGGTGGCGGGGACGAGGTAGAACCCCAAGAAGAGGCGTAGTCGTGCTCTTGATTGCATGGATGACTCAATGTTGATGGAAATTAGCTCCTCTTAGGGTACCCTAGTATTGATCCCCAACAGTAGCCCTCGAGCCATTCAAGTAGAATCGCCTTGGGGATTTTTTGACTTGCCAGCGGGTGCGCGCGAGCGCACCCGGTGGGTGTAGCCCCTGAGCTTGTGGAGGAGTAGAATACTCCTTCAGAGGTTTTTTCAAAGGGGGACTCGAGGACCACGGCCTTCTATTGTTGCCACTGGCGTGTCCTAAGGACAGTGATTCCTTCTTGCCGAGGTTGGACCCTTCGCGGGTATGGTTGTGAGATTTGGTGGCACGTTAGCTGGATAGTTTGATTGGGGTCCCAACATCCCATTCACGGGGATCTAGATAGGATCAGCCTGGCTGAGACTCGATCATGGGTTGAGATGCCCATGGCGCTCATTCGCCCGGGTACCGGCTACTTGTGGGCCCATCCCTTATCCTAAGGGTGCAGGGAGCGGTTGTCGAACCCATTGATGAGCCTAGCTTCGAACTCCTAGGTCCAGATAGGCCGTAGTGATGTCTTTCGATCTATATTCCCTTTACCCGTGATGAGTCTTGGCCCGCCTAGGGAGGCGAAACATCCAACGAGTCTTCCGAGGGAAAGGATAGGGATTACGTGCGCATATCCCGCGACATGATGTTTGTGACAGATCGTGGCAGGCGCGGAGATCTAGATGGGTGGTTGGTTTCCTCGCATCCATCGCCCCTATAAAACCAAAGGGTTCACCCCCAGGGTTTCATACCTTGCCTCCTTGCCTCCGCATCTGCAACCTCCGCTGCCAATCGCCTAGGCTCCCCGCATCCACGTCTCAGCCATCGTCGAGCTCACATCCACCTTCCTCCATCTTCCAATGGATCCATGGTGCCTCTCTGACATCACCTTCCAGCGCATGGAGGGCCTTGTCCATCGCGGTCTTCTCTACGCGTGGACCGCGGCTGAGGAGTGGCTGCTGCCTGGCGAGGAGGACGTGTCGTCGCCGCCCGACCTCTACGTGGTGTCCTTCGTGCACTTCCATGAGCATGGGTTCGCCACCCCCGCCCATAGGTTCCTTTAAGGGCTGCTGCACTACTACAAGATAAAGATGTAGCACCTCAATCCCAACAGGATCCAACACATGGCGGCGTTTGTCGTCTTGTGTGAGGGATTCCTAGGGATCAGCCCCCACTTTGATCTGTGGCAGCACTTCTTCGCCGTCACCCTCTAGAAGAAGAGGGAGAAGAAGCAGGAGCTGAATACGCTGATGGGATG